GATTCAGTAGAATCCCAGTTAGGAATCCCACTTGTCTCTCATATTTTTTTTTTTCCGGATTAAAGAGTTTATACTAAAATTTACATAAACATGCAAAAGTCTCAGCAGTGCCAAAGCAATCTTAAAATAGAAAATAAAAATCAACACACTTCTTAATTTTAAAATTACTAAAGGTACAATAATAGAGAGTAGTACTGAAATAAGAATAGACAGATCAATGGAATAGAATTGAGTGCCCAGAAACAATCTCTTACATTTTTGTTCAAATGATTTCAAGGAAGGGTGTCAAGACAACTGGATGTGGAAAAAACAGCCTTTTCAAGAAATGATCCTGGGACAACAGGATATCTACATGCAAATAAATGAAGTTGGACACTTACCTCAGGTCATACACAAAAATTAATGAGCCGAAAAGGAATTACACCAAAATATAAGACATAAAACTCTTAGAAGGAAATATTAGAATAAATCTTTGAAATCCTGGGCTAGACAAAAATTTTCTTAGATATGACACCAAAAGCAGAAGTGACAGAAAAAGAAACAATAAAAATAAATTAGTTTTCACCAAAATTAAAATTGTGCTTCAAAGGACACCATAAAAAAATGAAATGAAAACATAACTCACATAATGGAAAGAAATATTTGCAAACTTTATCTGATATGCAACTTGCATGCAAAAAAAAGAAAATATAAATAACCTAATTCTCGGTTGTGCAAAATTTGAAGAAACATTTCTTCAAAGAATATGTACACATAGCCAAAAAACACATCTTAAGATGGCATATAATAAGATGGTTTTCATCATTAATCTTCAGGACAATGCAAATCAAATACACATTGAGATACTACTTCACACCAACTAAATAGCTACAATAAAAAGGCAGACATCCATACATATTGACAAGGGTGCAGAGAAATTGATACCCTCATACATTGCTTGTGTGGTTGCAAAATAGTGCATCTAGTCTGGAAAAGTGTTTGAAAGTTCCTGTAAATGTTAAACATATTGATACCATATGATCTAGCAAATTCACTACTAGTTATATACTCAAAAGAATTAGAAATATATGTCCACACACATACTTGTACATGAATATTTATAGCACCATTATCCATAAAAGTTAAAAAGTAGCAACAACCTAAATGTCCATTAACTGAAGACAGATAAACAGATGTATTATACTCATACAATGTAATATTATTTGGCCACAAAACGAAATGAAACATTGATACATGCTGCAACATATGTTAAGTCTTGACAACATTATGTTAAGTGGGATAAGCCAGTCACAAATGCCCACATATTGCATGATTCTTTTTATATGAAATGTCCAGAATAGGCAAATCCATAAGACAGAAAATAGATTTGTGGTTTTCAGGGTCTGGGTGAGGGAGGAATAGGAAGGAACCGCTAATGCATACAGGTTTCTTCAGGAGGGAGGAACGTGTTCTAAAATAATATAGTGGTAATTGTTTCATTTTACTGTGAATGTATTAAAAACTCCTGAATTGTACCCTTTAAAAAAGTAAGTTATACAGTATGTAAATTATGTCTTAATAAAGTTACTATAAAGAAGATAATTTGGTAAGGAAATTCCTAAATAGCAAGTCATCATATTATATAGAACATGTATACAGATTATGCTCACCTTATTAAAAATGTATTTAGTGAATTCTCTCCTCTCCTTACAATCCAGTAAAGCCAATGTGTTAATGTAACATTTATATTAACACATTGTGTGTAAAACCACAAAGGAGAAACGTAATCAGAAAGCTTCCTTCAGCTGGACTTCTATTTTTATATGCAGAAAAAAAAGCAACACTTAACTTCTCAGAAATAAAATCAGTAATCTATCAAAAATCTGAGGAAGATCAAATGACTAGAGAGTTTATGTTAATTTAAGTGGCAAAGTCTTCTGGCACATTTATAAATTTAAGTCATTAAGAGTTCACAATTAGTCGTGTCAGAGTTATCTAGAAAGACTGATTACGTCTCATGAATATTAAAATAAAGTGTATTTTAATTAAGTCTTATAGATTGTGTTGCTTGTTTTGTTTTAGATCTTTAAGATCTCTGTATCTAATAGCAGTATTTTTACCTCAATAAAAGTACTATCATGTTGATAATACACTAATATTTGAGTCCTCTCATTCTGTTTGATATATGCTGAGAATAACATTTTGGACAATAGGTGGACAAGCGTAAGTGATATATTACACATAAACACACACGCATACATAATTTTTTCCCCACACATTTGTATGAAACTGCATTTTCGGAAAGAGAAAGAAACAACTAATATTCAGGAGCTTCCAGGTACTATAAGCTAGGTTTACAGCTAGTTGGTGGTGTTCTGTTAAATATTTCAACAGACAATTTTACAGAAGGTCAAAATGAGACAAGGCTACCCTGTGACCCTAATGAATCATAACAAATATAAGCCTTCCCCATAATCATATCCAAAGACAGACAAAAACATGAGTAGTATCTAAACCTCAAAAATAGCCAAACACTCCTCTATTGTACCTAGTGTGAATGATTGCTGCCTCTTTAAAACTTTTGGCTTTCACTTCTTTCTAATCTTCCATCGTGCTACATAAGATTTATTATGAATCCAATCATAGAATTTTTTCCACTTCCTGACAATATCTGATCCAGGTCAAGTTTCCATTTTCTTAAACTCTGCCCAAAATTATGTCACAAGCTCAAACAGCTAAGTCCTGTAAGCACCCTTTTACTGCGATGCCCCATGGATTTACCGGAAGTGTGTTCTCCCTCTCAACAATGTGTTATAAAAACCCAGTCTGTTCAATCACAAGTGTGTTCCTGGTGGTGTTTATCTGGAGGCACTTGCCACTGTGAGCACACACATACACAAATGCAAAAACAAATTATTTTTAGAAATTAAAGAGAAAGCTGAATGTTAAAATGTACATCAGAGTCTCAAGAAAAAACTGAAAAAAATCATATTCTATATTATAGGTTATAATTAATAGTTATTTAGGGAAAATAAAATAAACATACATAACTATGAAGTTTTTCTCCTAGTTCAACAAAAACTTACTTTCTCCTACCACACAGGTAGACAGGCAGTTAATATTAATTTGTGATGATACATCAATATATCAATGTTACATAAAATAGCTCTGGGTTTTTACAATTTTGCATATTTTTAAAACTAATATCAAATATTAGCTTTGAGAGTTTTTTTGTATTACCAAGATTATTCCCTTTTTCTTCTTGTCATTGAAATGTCAATCTAAATATTGCCAGCTATTTCAGAGTTCCCTTTAAATGAAGTAAACTGACTACTATGACCAGTCTGTGTCTTATATCCTATTTTAGTCACCAAAAGTGACGCAAATTTGTAAAAACCCTTACATGCTCCAGATGATCAAGAATTCTCAATGGCGGGCCGGCCCAGTGGCGCATTGGTTAAGAGCTGGCTTGGACGCCAGAGGACCCCAGTTCGGATCCCATATATGAGGGCCAGTGACACTGCCCTCTACAGCTAAGATGCTGAACAACAGCTCAACCTGGAGCTGGGCTGCCGTGAGTCTGCCGGCAACGACATAGGCTGCAGCCCCTGTGGCAGTGGGTTGCCATGGGCTACCGTGTATAGCCAGCAGCCAGCGTGAGCGGCCAGTGGCCGCAGTGAGCAGCCGTCCAGAAGCCAGCGACTGATGTGCCTCGCCCAGGAAGAGCGCAATGATGGTGCCAACTTGGGCCAGTGAAGCAATGAGCAATGTCCTCCATGACTAGACTGAAGAACAAAAGGACAGCACCTTGTCTGTTCCCCTTCCCCCAATTCTCTAGCGCTGTTCCCATCCCCCAAATCCCCAATAAAAATCTTTAAAAAAAAAAAATTCTCAATGGCAATAACAAGACAATTTCAGGATATCCTGAAATCATTTTGACTTATTTCTGAGAAAATAATCATCTGAGTATATTTGTATTCAATGACTCTCTTTTGTAGCAAGAAGAAACATTCTAGTTGCAATACACCTGGTTTTTCATCTACTTGATAAACTGAGTGTATACCAAACAAGTCAAAGAATAAAAGCTATTTACCAATATATATTTGAATCTTTAACACTTGAAATAGCAATAGCCAGTCAGAATTTCTATTTAGTTTCTTCAAACTTCTCATATAAAATCTAATTAATACAATTAGACTATGAAAAATGTGAATAATTAATGTTTTAGAATGTATCAATACATTTACTAAAGTAATCAAAACTCATGGTAAACTCTAAATAATAAAGTGAAAGTTTAAATTCAACGGACCCACTTAGGATTCATGCTGTGGCACTCATTTTGCATGGAATGGTCTAAAACGATCTTGAGATGGCAAATGTTTTGAAGATGTTTTGAAGAAGAAAATACATTTGTGAGATGTGCCACATATGGAAATTGCATTTCTAAATTAAGATTTATTTATTCCTTTTTTAATTGAATTATTTTTAATATATAACATTGTGCAAATTTAAGTTGCTTATTTGATACATTTATATATTGCAACATGTTTGCCATTGTAGTGATAGTCAGCACCTCTATCATGCCACATAATCATAGTAATTTATTTTGTGTGGTGAATCTAATTAAGATCTAGTCGCTTAGCATGTTTGATGATTATAATACAATATTCTTGTCTATATTCACTATACTGTGCATTAGATCTCCAGGAGTTATCGATGTACCAGTTGTAAGTTTGTACCCTTATACAGCATAATTTTTATTTCCCTACCACCCAGCCTCTGGTAACCAGCATTTTACTCTCTGTTTTACTGTGTTTATCCTTATTTTAACTTGATATCTAGACTGTGATACATGTAAATTTCAAATGAACGTGATACTATCTTGTTAGAAAATGGTTCTTTATCTTGGGATAGTTATTTTAATTAAATGGATGTAAAGTGAAAATAACATCTGGATGCATTTCAAGTACATTAAGCACTCCAAACAATTTCACAAAGAAAATGATAAATATGTCACTCACCGATAGCTATTGTAAAGATCAATACAGGTGGAATTGTTCTTACAAGGATTTGTTTTGCAGTCATCGGATTCTTGCTCACAAAAATTTCCTTCCCAGCCAGACAGGCATACACACTGGTAGCTCTAAGGGAATAATATGAAAATTATACAAACTTTAGGTTATTTCTTACCAGTTAGCCTAAAGTCCAAATATTACTCTTGGCTATTTTGATCTCTCAGTCAATTTATGCCTTTTACAATTTTTATAGAATATCAATACTTACCCCAAATTACTTTCACCACAGTTTAAAAACTGTATAAACAGTATTCATTAGTATGTAACATAATAAAAATGTGCACATATCAATAAACTCTACATAAGGTACAAAAATATTTATGAATTATGCTCACAATACAGAACTATTGACTTTGTTAAATGTCTTAATATAAAAATAGTGTGTCAGTAACAAGAGGGTAGTGATTGTGTAATACCAAACTAAATACGCAGCTAGCTCAGCAACTCACTCACAAGTTTAAAAAATATAACTACAACAAATTAAACTTTGACAGCTTTTGGTATTATTTACAAATAAATTAACCTGTTAATTCAGTACTGTTGTTTGATTAAAATTATTAAACTTTGCTTATTTTTCTAAAGAATAGAGTTAACTTATTACAGTATTCAAAATACAAAAACTAAAATTTTGCTTTCCTAGGATTGGGCAAACAAAAAAAAAACACCTCAAATTACTATGGGGTAATAATTTATATATTAAAAATATTTTTGAAATATAGTGCTCTGGTGAAAAAAGTAGAATTTGGGCTCTTATGTTTAAAGAGTCTAGATTTAACATTATGAAAACCAGTAAAATCAATCTTATCTGTAATCTTGATCTTCACTTTTCAATACAGTAGCCACTATCCATATGTGGCTATACAGCATTTAAATATGGCTGGTCCCCATTGATATGTGCTATGAGTATAAAATACACATTGGAGTTTGAAGATTTAATATGAAAAATAGTGTAAAGTATCCCATTAATAATTTTATTACATACATGTTGTAATGGTAATAATTTGGACATAAAAAGTTAAACAAAACATATTAAAATTATTTTCACCTGTTTCTTTTAATGTTTTTTTCATGTGGCTGCTAAAAAATTTCAATCGCACACAGGTCTCATTACATTTTGTTTTAGCTGAGCCACCCCGCCACCTGTTGGCAGCGCAGCAGCAGCTCAGCTCAGGCTGGGAATTGAACCGCTGTTTCTCAGAGCTTGCACTCTTGAGTGAGCTCTTAACCAACTGAGCCACTCTGCCAGCCCCTCATTACATTTCTACTAGACCAAGGTACACTAGATTATGCCAACCCAGTTTTCTCATTTGTGAATAGAATTAAGATGTCTACGTAGTTATGTGCATATATGAGTATATGAGGAGCAGGCATTCCTTGACATAAGAGAACATGTTTCTATTTAATACATCACAGTATTTTGAGGAGTCCTGGAACCCAGTAGATTCTTAATGCATGTAGGTTGAACAAATGAAAAAGAATTCACATGATAGGGAAAATAATATAAAAGCTGAAATTCGTAGCCAAAACAGATTTCAAAAGGATTCTGTATATTTGTTAGAGGTGAATAGCGTATTTGTTTCAAGCATTACATTAACCAGAGAAATAAATAAATTCATATTCCATGTACATACATTTAGGTTACAAGAATTCAAATGTATGAGAGTTGCCAATGAGTATTCCGCTTTGGTTTAACAGGGCTCATGGGTTTTCTATGCCTTGTGAGCAGCTGGAAAGCTGAGGGATGAGAAGCCACTGTATTGTAAACATTGGGCTCTATTCCTGACACATGTGTTAGCTCTCCACTCAGAGTACTCACTGACAGTACTCATGGCTTGCTGAATTAGAGCAGTAATTTCCTCGCGCATTGTCACCCTACCTACACTGTTCACTTTACCAATGACTGTGGTAACATTCACAAAGTTTTCATGGAGTGTTTATGGCTTTTGTTTTTTTTTTAACTTTTCTTTTTTGTAAGCCTTAAAGGAGACATTACATAAGAATTGAATGTCATGATTATATTTTGCTTTATGAATCTACTATTTAAAATGGAAGCAATTCTACTATAAGCAAGTCAAGCGTGTGCTGTACTGAATGAGACAAAACTGCCCAACACAGTGATGGACATTAGTGCAGAGCAGGGTGGATAACGTATGCATGAAATCTGTGGGGCAAGTTGAGGTGCCCTTTAACTATGTTCTGACAATTCACTTTCTAAGAGGTATGAATCATTTCTGTAAAGAAAAAAGCATGAGTTTACTGCTGGTTTTTATTTTGACATCTCGGTAAAAATTTGCAACAAATGTAGTGAGCCGAAAGCCAATCAAATTTCTTTACCATCAAAGCCATATATCCTCTAAAAACTAATAATTATCTGTATTCTTCATGATTTAATAATTAGTAGAAAATTATAATCAATTTAGTGGTATAATTATCATTAAAGTGTCAGGTACCACAACAGAGATCTCCAGATATGATGGAATCTGTATGAAAAGGAATCATGAAAGGCTGAAGGAAATGCTTTTTCTTTCAATTTTAAACCTTAAAAAAATAAATGTTGAAAAGAATAGAATTGGATATTAACTAGAAATAACCCTGAGTTCAACTATTTTTACTCATTTGTTGCTTACTTGATTCAGAAGCAATTTTCTGAATTTAGACATTCTTAGGGCAAAGCACTTTCCCATTCAACATTGTAACGTTAATTATTTCCAGTAATTTTAAATAATCGGTAAAGGTAAAATACTATTTTTAAACCATGTTTCCTTGGCATTTGAGCTAGGTTTACTGAGGAGGGAATTGTATTTAAAATGTTTAGTAAAATGAGTGAAAGTTGGTATAATTTATAAAGTTGCAGCCACGTTATTTTATGTCTTAATACAAAGTTGACATTAATCTTCTTGCCAAATTCAGATAAAACTCCTCTCATAGTTCGAAAATATGTGGGTAAGAAGGAGACAGGGAAGACAGAGATGATAGAAAATGATCAGATCGAGAATAGTGAATTACCCGGCCAGTGAGACAGAAAACAAAGTGGTCAAGTTTGGTAAATGTAATAGGATGAATTATATAGTGTTTAGCTTTTCAGGTCAACAGCCAGATGTTTTAAATCTCTGTGACTAACATCAAATGTACTAAAGTAAGCAGGATAGAATAATTCTGATTATGAATTTTGAAGTTTCAGAGATGAAATGTTAACATCTGTTCCATTGCTTATTAAGTTCCTAGACATGTTTGTTATACTAATTTTCTATTGCTGCATGACAAATTAGCAAAAATTCAGCATCTTTAAACAACATGAATTTTCCATCTCACACTTTCTGTTTGTCAGTGTCCAGGCATGGGTTATTTGAGACTTTGCTAGTCTTACAAGGCTAAAACCAAGGTATTAACTGGGTTATGACCTATCTGAGTCTTGGAGGCCTTTCCCAAACCCAATGGTTGTCAGCAAAACTAATTTCATTGTAATTATAGGACTTAAGTCTTTGTATTCTTGCTAGCTGTCAGTTAAGGACTACACTCAGCATCCAGAGACTGTTCTTGGGTCCTTGGCATGTGGCCTCCCCTTCTTATAACATGGCAGTTTGCTTCTTCAAGGCCAACAGGAGAGCATTTGCTGCTGGGATTTGTTTCCTTTAAGGGCCAATATAATTAGAGCAGGTACACCAAGGATAATCTCACATTGGATAAATCAAAGCCAACTGATTAGGAGGCTGTTATATCTGTAAAATTTTTTTTAATATAATGTAACGTAATCATTAGAGTAAGATCTCATTTTCACAGATGTTACACTCAAGGGAAAAAGGTTTGATAGGTCATGCATGATACACTGGGAAGTGGAAACCGTGAGACCATCTTATAATTTTGCCTACCATATCTACTAACTTACTTAATTTCTCTAAGTAACTTATTTAAATTCTCTAATTCTCAGTTGCCTTCACATATAAAGTGCCAGTAATATTTACTTCCTAAACTTATTTTGAGCATTGTGTGCAGTAATGATTATAACATGCTTAGCTTGGTAACACAAAATGACCACTAATTAAGTAGTCATTACCCCTAGGCATACTAGTCTAGATCTGATAAGGTCAAGGTGAAGTGAAAAAATTTCAGAACATATAATTAGAATAATTGATCAAGGAGAAATAGAAAATATTTTTAAATGACTATTTTAAAATAAACCAAAAGAGGGAGATTGGCAGTAAGTTCACATAGACTGAAACAAAATTATTTCCAAATATTCAATTCCCTTCTTATTCAGTATAGGTATAAAAAAATAGAAAAACAAAGGAAACAACCTAACTTATTTTTTGAGACTAGTATAACCTAGTTACTAAACCTGGCAAGCAGACAACAAAAATTCGAACTCAGCCAATCTCACTTACAATCAAAAAAGTAAAATTGAAAAAAAAAATTTAATTGAATCTCACAATGTCTTCAAAATATATTCTGATATAAGCTGGTAGTTCTACACACCCCCTGACCCCCCCCCACCCACACACACAGAAATAGAAGTATGCTTCAACACAAGACAATCTATTAAAAGAACATTTGGTTCATCTGAGGTGAAGAAAAAATATTATAAAATTTAACACACACTCATAAAATTCTCCTAGCAAATGAAAACTTAATGATAATGTGCTTATATTAGTAAAAGCTATGTACCAAACAAGCAAGCAAAAATAATTCTTCCAAATATTATTTTAACAAAAACAATTAGAGAAACTAAGACCTGCGAAGCAATTGTTGAGTTCTTACAAAAACAACCAAAGCCTACTGGATCTCCTAAATCCTGGAGAGAAGGGAAGCAAACTAAGGTAAGATTATACTTGCCTCTGCTTGTAATGCCAGGACATTTGCCTATTTTAAATTCAGATAAATAAAAGCAATTCTACTTCTAGGTATTTATCCAAAGTAAACAAAAACACTCATTCAAAAGAATATATATGCACCCCAATGCTCATCACAGTATTATTTATAATAAATAGCGAAGATATGGAAGCAAGTGAGGTGTCTATTGATAGATGAATAGATAAAAAAGATGTGTTATTATATACACATTGGAGTATTAT